GGGGCAATCCAGCAGGACCCGGCAGCTGGCCAAGGGGTGTGAAAAAAGGAATGGAGCAGAGCCACAGTGGGGACGGGCCCGTGCCCCGTGGCTCTGGAGCAGGGGTCATGCAGCCAGCCCAAGGGCACCGCAAGCGAGGCCCGCAGCCGAGGGTGCCAGGGACCGGCCTGGCTCAAGGCGTGACCAGCACGTGAGCCTCTCGCCCACCGAGCAGCACAGCTAAGGGACGCGACCAGGGCCGTGCACAGCTGCAGGGGGCGCGGAGACACCGGGCGGGCAGAGCCCCTGCCCCAGCAAGCGGCACCGAAGGAGGAAGAGGGTCCTGGCTTGGCGCCGGGGCAGCGGGGGACACCGACCTCCTCCCCGGGACGGCACTTCAAAGCACTGGCCCGAGCGGCATCAGCATCAGATCCTAGACAAGAGAGAGCTCGCCAGAGAAGGCCGGGCCGGGAGCACCCAGCCTCGCCTGGCGCACACAGCGCAGTGTGCCAGAAGGCTGGGCACCGAGACTCCCTTCTGAGGCCCTGGCACGACAGGGCATGGGGCAGCTCCAAGGTCCCTGGTTCGAGACCAGCCTGGGGCGATGCACCCAAAGCCAGTGGGTAGCATCTTGCACTGCTCAGCCAAGGGGGAGGCAAAACCAATGCCATCCTGGCTGCAATGGCCGCTGCGTAAACCAGCCTCTGGGGAAGCAAAGAGAGAGGGCCGGGGGGCAGCTAGACTGGCTGGGAGCACCAGTGGCTTTGGCCATCTCTCACTGAACAAGGAGACCCTGCCTCTGCTGGGCACGGCTCCCTGCTACCAAAGCAGAGCAAGCTTCTGGCATGGGGCGGCTTTGCTCCGCTAAGTCCCAAGTGGGGGGAGCTGTAGCAGCTGGGGCAGGAGGGGAGGGCAGGACTCAGGCCCAGGGCTGGTTCCCCTGAGTGAGGCCCACAGCGGCAGCTACTCTGGCCACCTCTGGAGCCAGTTCTCAGGGCAGTCAGGGCACAGGCAGCCCCCCCACCGCTTGCTGCCTTGCTGTGTGCCCTCCTCCCAGGCAGCTGGGCTAGAAATGGCCCCCTGGGACCTCCCCAGCTCGTCCCTGCCTAAGCCAGGGGTGCTAAGCAGCATGCAGCCAGGTGCAGATGTGCACATCTGGACAGATCCCAGCACTCAGCCCAGGGGAGCCAGGCAGCAGCACCCGCCTGGGGCTGGGCAGGTGCGACCGTGCCCACGGGCTCCCCTGCTGCAAGGTGTCCGAGCCCCCTTGCAGACATCCATGAGAGCAGCCCTGGAGAAATCAAACCTCATGGCTTTAATTCATCACCCGGGGTTACACGGCTCGACCCCACTGCACACAGCACGCACCACCCCCCCGGCCGCCCCAGGGCATGAGAAACCGCACAGCAACACACAGGCACAGCAAGAGCACACGGCAGGCCTGGCCTCTGGGGGGGCAGGAGGGGGGAAGAGGGGGTGCCCCAGTCCCCCCATCCCAGCAGGGGAGGGGCAGGACCCAGGATGCAGCCGCCCGGGGCTCCAGGCACCAGTGGCGAAGCTACTCTGGAAGAGGCCGATGCGAGGCTGGAGGCGATGCCAGCGGCAGGGTGTGGAGGCTGCTGGGTTGCAGTGATCTCCTTCCACGGCGCGGGCACCTCGCTGTGGGGCTCTCCCCGGGGCTCAACGGTGGGGTGGGAGGTCCTGGCCAGGCAGCTCTGGCGCCTTGATAGCACCCGCCCGGGGAAGGAGGTTTCACGAGCCTGGAGGGCGTCCACCCGGGGGGAGCTGGGGCAAAGGGGCACTCAGGAGCTGCCAGTGCAGTCCCAGGCTCCAGGCCCCGGCGCGTGGCAGGCCAGGCTTTCATTATGGCACTGCCATCTCTCCCCCCAGCCAAGCTGACTTGAACCAGCTGGCTTTTAATCTCTGGGGGCTTCAGCTCCCTGGCTGCGGGGCAGAAACCGGGATGGACCAAGCCTGGCTCCAGGTCTGCAAGGCGCCTGGCTCTGGGGGACTTCTGGGTGTTACCAGGATCCAGGGACTGGCTAAGCCATCACGGCAGTGCCATGGAGCAGCCCCTGCCCCGGCACAGCGTGGGGGCGCGCAGTGCAGAGCCCCAGCCAGCGTCACGCCGGCACCTCTCGGGGAGCCGACACGCGGGGGTCACGCAGCCCACAGCAGCCACAGACAACGCCCCCCCCCCGCGTGTCTCCTGCACCTCAGTGGCGCTGGGACGCCCTCACCAAGGCAAGAGAGCCCCGGAGAACCGCACGGCTCCCCTGGTGCCCAGGCGTGCGGTGGCGAACGGAGGATGCTTGGACGGGGGGACAGCCTGCGTCTACAGCACGGCTCCTCGCTGTGTTTGCAGGGCAGAGGCGACCAGGCTGGCTGGGCAGAGCAGCACAACCAGCCTGGGACCCCGGGGCGGGCAGCAGGGCCCCTGCCTCCCCCCAGCTCGGGGCAGGGGAACAGCAAGTGCAGAACAGCAAACGGCCCCGGCCCCCTGGAAGAGCACACAGAGAGGGGGCGGGGGTCTCGGGACAGGTGGGGGCGGCCTGTCTCCTGGCGCAGGCGGCAGCACCTACTGGTTCTCCTCTCTGCAGCGTGCAAGGGAAAACAAAGAGGGGGCGACCCCCCAGCATTAGACATGCGGGGACCAACTCCCCAAGCACCCAGAGGAGAGGGCCCCCTGCTCCCATGGGCAGGAAGGGGGGCAGCGACCCGGCTCTCCGGGTGGTGTGAGTGCTGGCACCGCGCTGGGGGGGCTGCATGCAGAAGCCCCTCGCTTTGGGGAAGGACGAGGGCATTAAGGCCACCCATGCTTGTCCTGCAGAGGGGTTGTGGGCCGGGATGAAACAGCTGCAAGGTGGGGGGCAGAGAGGGGCCCGGCCCTCGGCACTGGCGACAGACCCCCTCTTTGCTGCGCCAGCTGGCGAGCGGACGATGACAGACGGACGAGGCGTGCAGCCGAGGGGGGTTTATTCCTCATGTGGACGCCAGACAGACCGTGCTGGGGGGTGGGCAAGACAGCCCCATGCAGGAGGCACCAGAGGCAGAGGGAGGGGGCCACACGAGGCAGTTGGCACAAGACAGCAAACAAATGCACGAGGGGGTGAGAGCAGATGGCATGACGGCACCCGCAAGACATGGGCGCTCCGGGGGGCTCGGCCAAGCCTCTGTGGGCACAGGGGCCAGTCAATGCTCGGCCACCCCTGACCCTTCCCAAGGCCGCCCAAGCCCTGACCTGGGGGTCAACACCAAGTCTATGGCACCAGATGTGCTGGGGGGCCGTGCCTGGGCACAGTCCCCCATTCACAGTCTCGTCCCATCCCCTGCTGGGAACGGGGCTGCTCTCCAGCCCCCTGCCCCGGGGCCGGGCAAGGGGGAGGGGGGCGGGGGTCCTTACAGCGTCTGGTAGGTGCTGTCCTTGGACTTGAGGAACTTGATGACGAAGAAGATGACAGCCTGGACGCTCAGCACCAGCACGATGCCCCCGATGAAGCTGGCCGTGTCGAAGCCGGGTGGGTGGAAGGCAGGGGTGCCCGTCAGTGGGGGGGCTGTCGTCGTCCCTGCAGGGGGGGGCACCAGGGGTTAACCCATACGGCCACAGCCGCCATGCTCCACCCCAGAGCTGGCTGCATTCTGGCCCAGCCAACAGGCTGCTACTTCCAGGCCCAGACGCCAGCTCCTACAGCCAAGCCGACAGCTGCAATTCCCACGCAGGAGCAAATTAAGAAACCGGACTCTCCCGGAAGAGCTCAGCCCTTGCACGAGCAGAGCTGCCAAGCCAGGGGCAGGAAGACCCCCCGCCCCCTCCCCACAGGGCACCGTGGGAGCCGCGTTTGGCATGCAGCGCGTGGAGCAAAGAGCCGGGAGTGGAAAGGGAGCCGCTTGCAGTGTCCCGGAGGACCAGGAAGGGAGGCCATCGCCTGCGCCGATAAAGAGAGCGGGTGCCCGGCGGGATCAATAATTCACGAGGCTCCAGGATGGAGTTACTCACTGTAACGAGCCCCGAGCTCTCGGATTCCCGCTCCTCCCGCCTGGAAGAGCGGCTCCGTCTCCGCTCAGTGCGAGCAGGCTTCTTCCCACGCTGCCTCCCACGGCAGCACCCCCGCAATCCTCCCCCTGCCCGGCTCCCTCCTCCCAGGGCTGGTGGATACGGGACCAGATCCCTCGCCCGCGTCACTGCCAGACCCAGTCCCGGAGCACCTGGGTCCCACCCCAGCACTGGCTGCATCTTCTTGGCCGGAGAACCCAGGAGTCCTGGTTGCTCGCATGCCCACCCTTCCTCCTCCTCCTGCGGCCCCCCCGGAGCTCACCGACCCCGGGGGGAGGGAGAGGGGCCCATGCTGGCTCCCACAACGAGCAAGTCCTGGCCTGCCCGACGGGTGCTGGGCGTTGCCACCCAGCCCTGCTGCTCGTGCCACCCCCTGACCGGGTCCATCCCCCTCCTGGCGCCGCTTGCCTGGCGTGTGTATCGCTGGCTCCTTGGTGGAGACTCGCCGAGGCTTCTCGGTGGGAGATTTTGGTGCTGAGAGGTCCAAGGGGGAGGAGGAAGAATGGAAAAAGCTGGTTAGACCCATGGCCTTGCCCTCTGCCACGCTCCACGCTGCCTCCCATCTTGCCACGCTCCTGGGCAGGACAGTAAAGCCCGCTGGGCTAGGATGGGATCGCAGCTGGCCAGCTCCCGAGTGGCCCAGACAAAACCCACTGGGAGGGGGGCAGAAGCAGGCCCCAGCCCCACGGACCAGGGTGGGCCACCCACGCCACCGCCCGCTACCTTGACACATCGCGGTGACGTTGTAGATGGAGCACTTGTCCTTGGCCGGCTCCCCTTTCTTCACACAGCTCCCAGTCCCTGAAAGGCATGGGGCAGAGACGGCTCAGACGCGCCCTCCGTCCTGGGTATGAAGAGGGGGCAGCCCGGAGCCGACGGCGACACCCCTGCCCCGATGCCCAGGCAGGAGACGGAGCCGCAGGCCGGCAAGCTCAGGTCGGCCTGGCGGAGCCTCTCAGCTGCGGGTGGGTGCCCCCAGGTCCCTCCTTGATCTCCCAACGTGGGTCACGCTCCCCTGGGGAGCAGCCTGGACCCGGAGCCACCCGCTAACCCCCTTTCCAGCTGCTCCGGGTTGTTTCGGCTGGGACCCGGGGGTCGCATTTCCCTTCCCCCAGAAGCTGGGACAGGGCCTGCTCGCTACGGCTCGTGTTTCCTCCAGTGTGCTGGCTCCGGGCCCCCCCGAGCCCCGTGCCCTTCAGCTCAGCTCTGCCAAAGGGTCTCTCTTGCCCCCCTGATTTCTACACCCCACCCTCCTCCACGGCAGGAAGCTGAGGATTGTTTGTCCCGTGCTCCCCTTGGCCCCTTGTGACCCGCCATCAGGTGCCAGGAGGAGCTGGGGCTGCAGCCAAAGGCTCTGAAACCCAACACCCACCCAGCGCAGGGCATGGAGACGCTGGAGGGGATGGTGCTGCAGAGCAGCGCTACTGGGGAAGGCTTGAAAGACCCCCCCCCCATAGGCCTGCCTAGCAGCTTGCCAGGGCCCTGCGGGTCCCTGGCACTGTGTCACGCGCGGTGCACCCCAGCGCACCGGGCCCGTGCGTCAGAGCCAGGTGAAGGGGGTGCTGGATGTGCGGGTAGGGCTCGGGGCATCAGGCAGAGCCACGCACCTGGCCCCTCGGCTTCTCCGCAGTGCAGCCACGCGCAGTCCGTGATGTTGCGGGAGGGAGCTCCTTCGAGGCACTTCTCACAGGTCTCCAGCTCCGAGCACTCGCCTGCCAAGCCACAGAGCATGCCAGGGGTCAGGGCACGGGGGCCCCGAGCCAGGCCGAGGTTTCCCCCAGTCTGTGCAGCGCGCGCCCAGAGCAGGCAGCCGGCAGGGCCAGCCCCGCACCCGCTGCGAGGCTTGTGGTACTTGCACCTCTTCCTCCCACCCCTGCCCCCATTGCCTCCGCAGCCTGGGCACCGGGGAGCCCCCCCAGCTGCTGGTGCCAGCCAGGGCTCACCCTCGATCCCTTGCCAGGAGGTGCCCGACCGCCATCCAGGCTTAGTCTGACCTACAGACGCAGCACAAGGATCACCCCGTGCCCTGGCTCTAGCAGACCGAGCTCCCTCGGGACCCCCCTACCGTCCCCCTAACACTCAATGCCCCCTCCAGGGAAGCGAATCACCCGGGCACTTTGCCGCATGGCGTCTATTTTAAAGCTAGGATCCCCTTCCTCCCACCAAGGGCAGGGGAGCCACGTAGCCTAGCGGTTAGACCAGCCCCTCGGGGAATGCCCCAGACCCTGTGGGATGTGGGGTAAGGGGCTGTGGCCCCGATCCTGCCAACACGCTTGCATGGGCATCACTTCTGTCACCGGGGTGCAGCGTAGAGCCGAGTCTGCCGCGGCGACTCAGTTTACCTGCTCACACCACATTGCTACCTGGTGGGTGGAGGTCCAAGGGGGGGAGGAAGCACCGCGCGGCCCCCGGGGTGGGGGAAAAGGGGCC